TAAACCATATCTTGATCCAGATATTTCCCATATTTGGTATGTTACACGTATGCTTATGGAAATCATAACATTCTTGTCACCCAAATGGTTTGGTATTTAGGGTATTAAACTGGGTATATAGGCCAACATTTTCTAATAACCCCCCCATCAATTTCCTTGTCAGACACTAGAAAAGAGTAATGCTGTCTATCATCAATTAGAAGCTTGATACTTGTTTATCAATACTAATTGTTCTGTTTATTGTCAAAAGTTGGTATTTACTGATGCTATCTTCGTTTTTGTCCCATAAGGCGTACTGTTAACTGTAGGTTTATTCTAACATTCCTAACAGATTGTTTCCTTAATAGAGGGATGTTATATGCAGTAAAGTCTAATGATGCAGAGAGAAATTTTATGTACTGTACTTCCAATAGACATGGATGAGTTGGCATTAATTAGTGTCTATGGAAAGACACACTTTCATGGGTCTATAGGGAATTGTGATGGAACATTGTTATAATTGTGTAAATTTTCTTTTCATATTATAGATATTAGATACAGTTATAACCTTACTGTTATTATTAAGCTCCACAGTGAGCTAAAATTGAATCGAGATAATTTTCCGTTCCTTTCGTAAGTATTTTTATGTGTATCACAATATTTGAATAGAAAAGGGTGATATAGTTATCTGCTGCTTTTCAAAAAAAATCTTTTGGATGCATCAAGTAATGAAACTAGGTAATCAAATACAGAGAAAAAAAGAAGTAACATGCAGACATTCAGCCTTACAGTATACCAGATTGCATAATCATGAACTTAGCATGATCAGTTAGTTTCTACCTGGCATTAGGAGCGGCAATCTGTTCTCTTTTGCCATAGACCAAATCTACTGGCATATAATCTGTGTATTTGGCCAATCTCTATTTTTTCCAGCTGCTTCCTGAAGTCTGGTAGAGGCTACTGTTCAGTTGCTTACTTACGGAATCAACACCCTTGACAACAACCTTGGCAGCAACTGAGTTGTTGGTCTTTTACATTCCAGTCAATGTGTAGCCTGGTCTTAAAACTGCCTTAAAAGTCGTATATATGTGCTCAGGTTCGGCAGCCATATAAAACGTGCACAGTTACGGGGGACAGACGAGTAAAGAAGTGGAAGACCTTTCAGCTTCTCCTGGCGCCAGAGATTATTAGACAAGGTCGTCCGCTGTATCTACGGAATAAAAGTCCTCATAACCGGCAAGGTTACAGCTGGAATATGAATAGACCAATTCTGCACCTCATAACAGTAAAGACTGTAAGAGATTCAGCGAATCAACTCTCCAGTTATGAGTAGTGCGCATTAGAGTGTTCACAATAGCACTAGGGATACATTTATACTAGACCTAAGGGCTTTTCCTTATGTCAATGTAGTTAAATGTCTTTGAAATAAAATGCGGATGGAGTCAAAGCACTGACTGGAATTAAAATGAGAAAGGATCCAATTTGAAAGAGATTTTTTACCACCTGTGCAACATCCAAAAAATGATTGATATTAAAGTTTTTGATATCTGAATGTTTTATGAAAACTGATTTTAAAAATTGTTTCTGCCAAAAGCTTTCATTAGTTGCAACGTGGTCATTTCACCCATCAGTAGCTTTCTTCTTATAGTTATTTGAAAAGCTATGATACAACAGGCTTTAAACATGATTTCAAAGGATACAGGCAAGGCTCTGTCAAAGGTTTTGTGAAAAGTAGGAAATTGCAAATGCACCTGTTACACGTTGCATAACTACATAGACTACCAAGTTCTATCCTTCCCGAATGTCCCTAGCCTGGAAGAGTCCCCAACAAGACTGCAGGAAAATTACTTGCACGTTTTATCTGTCTGGGTAGGCTTGACCTTGCAGACTAATGTAGCAGGCAGGAGACTGTGGTGATGGATTGAGAATGTGTTCTGTATTATGGTCAGTGAAAGGTTAGAAAGCCCACAGGGAGGACCACAACATGTGCCCAGCATGCCAGCTGTAGTCAGGGGTGCACTGCTCAGGGATCTGTGTCACCTAAATACTTCACATTCTGTCTGTTCTGGTCCAGCAGTGGTCTGTAGGGTGATGGGGAAAATTTACTGGAGCAAAGAAAAGAAAAAGTCGGTTAGAGCTCTGAATTGGTTCATTTGAGTGGTACAGAAGACATGTAACTACCCTTCTAGAGTCTCGCTGTTCAAGTACAGTAATTCAAACTTCATGTACCTACTAGCTATACTGTAAATTCCTTTACCAGCTTGGTAGTTTTATTTCACAGCATGAGGAAAAAAGAGGTTTTCACGGTGTTTGAAGTTCACAGTTGGACAGTAGTACAGTAGAATTCTATAAAACACATGTTCGCGGTGTTATGATTTTGCTATACGACGTTACCACAGTGAAAAACAACCTCCGGGAATGTTTAATGCATTTACAGTAAACAGTTTGTTTTGTTTGTGCCTTTATTTAATCATGGATAACTTAAATATTTTATCAGGAATACCTCGAAATGGCCTGCAGGTCACTTTTCATTGGTGTCATGAGGGAAGAAAATGAGTTCCATGCTAAGATAAGCCTGTGAAAATGAAGCATCTTTTCCCATAGGTGAATCTGAAAGATTTTTGGAAGGTTGCTTTCTTTCCTCCCCCTACAATACATGACCAGCTGGTGACAGTAACATCTGGTGAGTCGAAAATAGGGAGAAAATTACAGAAAAGGAAGGAACAATTCTTGCTAACATCTGTTACCAGATCAGAGAAGATAAAGGCACTATTGGAAAATACCTACAGGTCCCACAGGGAGTCAACAGTAATAAAAGTATGATAATCGATAAGATTGCTGTCGTTTCCCATTCTGGAATGAGTCAGAACTATTAATACTTGACTATCTTTCCTACATCTGGTATGCTCTAAATGCATTTGGTCAGGGAATGATCAGATATAGAAGATAGTAATATTTCTAATGTCTGTATGAAATGCTAATTACTCTCTATGACGCAATATCATATTTTACTCAGGAAGAAGATATTGCTGAACATTCAGGAACAATAAGATCTGTAACATGTCACTCAGCATGGCGGTAATTGCAGGAAATGCTTTAATTTGTAGCCTATCAAGTATACATGGTGCAGCTGTTCATATCCCACATTTACCTCACGCACACAGGTGGTATTCTACATGTTTATGACAACCTTGACTAATTGATACCAGCATAAAGCTACAATATTGCTTATAATTAAAACAGGAAAGGCTCCGGTTGTTGGAGGGAAGGGCGTGTCATATCCAAGGATAACTGGCTTACGGTATGTTTGATACTGGCTGGAAGGAGATTGTATATTCCGCTGCGTATCTGTAACAGGTGGGTTTGGGAGGGACTCTTGCTCCGTTGGGATATCACCTCGTCGATTGTTTTTACGCCCTTGCAAATTAACTCATTTTTGCTAAGTGCCTTTTTGTGTGCGCTTGCCTTAGCATATTTCATGTATAAAATTAAAGCGATAGAAATTGAATCAATCTCCGTATGGCGGGGGCCCTGCTTTCGCTGCGACCTCAATTTGTTGGCGGGTGATGGGATGTCATATATCAATATCTCGGCGGTGCAAATTGGCCCTATTTCATTAACGATTCCATCCCTCTGTTCCAGTAAGGCCGCTAATGCACATTTATTTAATTTCCTCACTTCACCCCATAGGTGGGGTCCCCCCTCTCCTGGGATTAGGTACACGAGTCTTTCAATCTGAAAGGGACGGCCCGTATTTGCAAAAATTAATAGGTCGGGCGCCGGATGGCAGCAGGCTGCTCGCCAAGGGATTGAGGCAGGTTCGTCGGACTGACTTGAACTCCACAGATAGACCCATCCCTGCATGCATGTGTCGTCTGTATCATTGGAAACATTACGGCTGGATTCTCTGGAATTTAGGGCGTTCCCTGTATACGTTCCGTGTGTGTGTGTATATATAGTCTGTACTGCTGTGAATGCCATGAAACAAAGTCGTTACTCGGTTAGATACATTGTGTAATACAAGGTGACATATAATCAACAGCACCTTGGTGTATCGTTACCTCTAATATCGCTTTTGCTCTCTGAATTTCAGAAAGGAGATAGTAGCTCGGCTTGTGACATCATTGTCTCTTACATCATGTGGGTCCAGTGAAAGTAGTGTCACATTTCTGTCCACAGATTCTGGCTGTGCGGGGTCAGGGTGAGGGTGTCATGTCGTCACTTGAACCAACATGAATTTGGTGCATCTGTCCTAGAATCTCCCGAAGCAGGTTATTTTTGACCGCTTGCGAGCATTCGTCACGGCCCCACCTTCGCTTGACATGTCGTAGCCTGGCGCTGGCCTGTTTGTTGTGTTTGAACGGCCAAGTGTAGCCTGTGTGGGACCTGTGTATGACAGCTACCACCCTGTGGGTGCACATGACAAATCTGCCCTTCAACAGGTGCTATATTTGGTGCTGATTAACGTTGTGAATGCAGCACAACTTTTCTCATTAAGGGAAGTAACCTTCGCTCCACTGTACACTTCATTCACGGATGCTGGCCAATTGACTGGGCTCCTCCTGGCCCCTTAGTGGCGGTAAGCTTGCCTGCCAAGGATGGCATTGACTTTGCCGAGAGAGAGCGCACGTCTGCTTGATGGGTAGATTTACGATGGAGACACTCGGATCGCGTTTGTTTTTGTCGGTTTTGATGGCGACTATTTTGGTCGCAGTGGTATCGTTGTACGTGTATTAGTCTTCGATGGCTGGGACATTGCTAGTCAGGTTTTTGATATGCAACCACTATTCTGTCATACTTTCTCACAGTGATCCACAAACTACATTGATCATATTGATTCATTTTTTCTTACTGTAGAATTATTTTATTTTCCTTCCCAGGTGTTGGATTTCGTGACACTATTTTTTCTTAGTCTACATTTGTGTACAGTACTTTATGACTTTATCAGAATGAATATTCTAATAATGTCCATGTTTTATCTTTGATAATTAATGTTTTTTCTCTTCTATTTTTTTGTACAGGGTTCCTTGATCTTCAACTTTCATCCCTCTTCGTTTGACCTTTGACCTTCTTTGGTAAAAATGGACATCTCTTTGACGACGGAAAATAAGGTGCCGGGAGAGGCCCCCTCGGTGACCCTCACCATACGTCTCATCATGCAGGGAAAGGTAACTTTTATGCTTTCAAACCATTTATATGTTATATGTAGTAGTGTAGTGTTTATATGTAATATGTAGCCACACTAGATGCTGCCACGGTCACAACAACAAATTTAACACATTTCACAGTTAAAGTGTATCAATATTGTCATCGCAGAAAATACCTCATTTATATCTGAGGGCACCCAATGTGCTAACTAAGTTAGTAAGATTAGAATATGTTCGTGTGACACCAATAACACCACCACCATTGAACATACTGCAGTCATACAGAAGACTATATCTGACAGCAATCACTGTGCTGAGGAAGATCAGAATAATATTAGTTAAGGCACATATATATATTAACATTAATAAACTAATGTTTGAGTTCAATTGAAAGTTTCTGGCTTTCAAGAAGGCTGAAAATGTAAAAGGCTTGTAGAACAAACGATTGTTAGATTGTAGAACAATCATTCACAAAGCAGCATCCCTCTCAGTACCTTGGATGTAATTTGAAACATAAACCACCACAGCCATGAACACAGACTATTTCACCTTCCTATGCTGGTTGCTAGGTTACAGGATTGTCTGCGGTTACAAAATATAATACCTGACATAGTTCTGTAGATATGTCTGAGCAACATTCCCGATGGAAACGTGACATTGTCCAGTAAAACTAGAGCTGACACCAACATCATTACATGTAGTTGTCAAAAATGAAATTAGGACACTGTTTTACATGTCCAGCAGTGTAAGATGATGGGGTAAATTTTACTGAAGCAAAGAAAGGGAAATACTCCAAGCTCTGAATTGGATCATTTGAGTAGTACAGTAACTAGCCTTCTAGGAACTATGACATTAATTTATTACTTCAAATTCATGTACATACGTATAGCATTAATACTGTAAATGAATTCGTGGAGCTTTTATTTTGCATTATGAGGGAAAAGGAGGTTTTCGTGGTGTTTCAAGTTAGCACAGTACAACTATGAAACACAATATTCCTGGTTTTCTAGGGACTCTTTGCCAGGTTCACGTACAAGAAATGTCTTCCGAGCCACTTGGTAATTAGTTTAGAGGCACCTGTGACACGACACCTGATTTGATATGCACAATGTGTTCCCACATGGAATTAGATCCACCCTTCATTTCTGCGCAAAACTTTGATGTCTAACGCGGTTTTGTGACACGTCACCCCAGTCTCTATTGATGTGTCTTCACAGATATAGAATTGTACACACCAGTTATGTACACGTCATTCCTGTATAGCATTTAACGTTAGGAGCAAAATTGAATAACCTTCTAACATATCAGAGCAACGAAACATTGCTATCGGAATAGAAATATAGATTGATATAAGCAAGCTGGAAAGGTAGGGGAAATATTAGATTAGCCAGAGGATTATGTGCATGCCAGATTTGCCTGGTAGGAGATTAATTTAATTCGTAGCTTTAATGAATTATATGTGGGGATTATGAAAGGTATTATTGTACACTCCGCACTGTATTAACGCACGGTAGACTCTTGGCAATTAAAGAAGGGAAACGCCAGCTTTGTCATCTCTACATCAAAGAATCTCTCATAAGTCTCTGTGTAATATCAACTTTGATAAAATACACTGATTGTATCAGCTTGATTAAAGGTTTTTCTCAGGTTACCATGTATTTTTCACAACATTTACTGTCTCAAATATTCCCTTTGCAAAGAAAATTTGACAGATTTTTCCAGTCACTATCCAGAACCTACTAAAAAGATGATGTATAAGCTTATTGCTAAGCCCAAGTGGATGGAAATTATTATCTTAAGTATATGTAAGGCCTTTTGTGGTGGATTGACAGGAGCTTGATAGATGAGTTACTCAGGTAGAAGGGTAATAAACCTAATATGTCACTGTCAACGGTTCAAAACCTCCCACGGTACAGTTGGGATAAAACCCTTCTGGCGACGTTCATTCTACCCAGGGTGGAAAAGTACTGTAAAAGCAGAAACTTTGGTGGTGGTTTTATTTTTGCATTCTTCGCATTGACCATTCACATTCACTTTAGTCTTTGACATTATACTACTGTGGGGGTCCCTGACACAGGTGGGCAGCAGTCAGCTGAACTTCACACCAAGTTTCGAAGAAACTATGTCCAGCAGGTCCAAGTATTGTTTCAACAGGGACCACAAAAACCTCCTTTTCCCTCATGCGTTCAGACTTCCAGGAAGTATTTTGCGTTTTCGTGACGTTCGCAGACCTCTGGGAAGTGGTTTTGTAACTGTGACAGGGATTGTATGATGTAATTCAATCGGGTATAACGGTACACTAGGCACTGGTGATCTTGAAACTTAAAGCAATAAGAGAGAAAATGTTAAATGACACATTTAAGTTAGAAGATGTCCAGGTGTAGATAAAAATTGGTGAATATCTTAATCCTCCATGCAGTAGAACTCTTTTCCCCTTATAAATTGTATTTTTTAGCAATAGATGCATTTAGTATAATGCTAACTTGGCCACCTCTAAGGTGCATGGACAACAGTTCTTGGTACAGAGTGATGTAAACATTGGCATGTTGTCCCCCACACAGGTAATGTTTACTGTAAGCTGAACAAAGAATACCCCCATTCTGTACAAACTGACCCCTCAGGCCCTTAGTGATGCTTCTTAGGCGCTGCCTGTTAGCTTGAATAGGTTTGCTAAGGCTCCTTTTCCACTAGACTGGCGATCGCTGAACAGCCAAATTGGATTTGTGTGAGTCTTGATTTCATAATATTGGAGTGTGATGCTCAATGTTTGAATATGATTCAAAACTCAGAGAACTTTTTTAAAACCTAAGATTTCTTCTTTTTTTGACAGATCTTCGTTAAGTGATCTGTCAAATATTTTGTTGTTCAACAGTTGCAACCTCTAGTGGAGAAGGGGTTGGTGTTCTGTCCATCAGTATAGGACACTGACCTCTGGTAACTACTTGAAAATGAAAGAGTAAACAAAAGATTTCTTGTAATGTTTTTTAAGAATAGAGATGTAACTGTTGATTGAAAAAAAGTTTGAAAGTTACTTCAGGGTTAAGTACAGTGTTCAAAAGGGGAATGTATGTAAAAGAACTATTACTGCTAAGGGTTACATGCATGTTTCAGGTACTTCATTAGTATAAAATGAAATAGATTGCCTTCTACATAGAAGGTCAGGTATCTACAAAATAGCTATTACTTGAAACACAGCCTGAAGTACACTTTGAAGTAGTGTGTGTAGGGGTATTGCAAGATGATCTCAAAGCCAGAAGGTACATGTATGTGCAAAAACTGCTAATTATTACATTTAGAAAGCACTAAAAAGATATATATCCATGCATCTGTTATTCAATTTCAAATACTGTGATGTGTTGAGAAACATCTGTTGCTTCAGTAAACAGTTTTGATTCCCTAAATTGGAAGATAAATGTTTAGACATTGTTTAAGAGGAGAGAAAAAAAATCATATTTACACAGCACAACCTTTGCCCGAGTGGGCCGATCCGCTGGTATGTTGTACATGTTTGTAGAGCCTTTCACGCTGGTTTGGAAAGATAAGAAATACGGGAAGGGCCAAGACATGGCGTCTCTCTTTCCAAGAGGTACAGATGCTTTCAAACCCAAGATGTGTTAGGTGTAAACAAGAAACTAAATGTCTAAATATTGACACTTAAAACAAGACATTGTCAAAGTGTTGGGAGGTCTTGACTATGCAGCCAACCACACAGTAAAGGAAAAGGATCCACTGGAAATGACTCTCCAGTGTAGCATGCTGGAATATACCCCTTGTCAGAACATATCGGGGTACATTCTGACCAGGGGTATATCCTGGCCTGCTACACCTGTGGTGTACATAATGTATGCTACTGCATACATTATGATGCTTCAGCTTCAGCAATTTATCATTTAGCGTACTAATTATTAACAAAATGAAGGCCTACTCATCCTGAAAGCAATAAGAAAGATCATAAGGATTTATGAATAAGATACAATTTTCCTCCTATTGTTTTCTTTTTTACTGTGCTTTAACCATCTTTCGAGTTTTCTGTATCAATTTGCACCACCCAACACTGCACATTCGTTTTCAGTTTAGTTTCAGTTTATTTATTTCACCAGCAGTAACACTCAGGTACATAACAACCTATTTTTCAGGCAATACTGGGTATACAAGCACAGACTATACAATATTACAAAATTCTGTATTGACCTGTTCCTGAAATGCCTGGGAAGTGTAGGATTTCCTGCCTATTGTAGTCCTCCAGGCCGTTCCATAATGCAGAAGGCAGTTGAACATGTGCTAATCCAATCAGCAGTGGACTTGGACACGGCTCCAGGCAACCAGACCTCTGCCCCAGCAATGTGCGCTCTCTTGTAGTAATCAGTGGAGGGACTCAGGGGAGGCAGCGGTGATGAAATGTGTCTTCTGACTGCACTGGACGGAAGGAGTAAGAGGAAAGGAAAAGGAAAAACTTATCAGGCAACATATTTGAGAATGGGATTGACATTAATTAAACTGAAATACAATTTAATTGGTATTAGATGAACTCAAGTATAGTTAAATTAAAACTTACAATTATTTCTATTACCAATACAGTGTAGAACTTTTTACAAGCAGGGTTTGCTGTGGTAATATTTTTCCAATTTCTAGTTTTTTCCCCTTTTTTCATTTTTTCAGCTTTAATTGAATTTTTTTTCTATTTAAGAGTCTTTAACATCATTGATTAAGTAAAAGTACATTACATGATATCCTCTTTGAGAAGGGCAAGGTCTGGTACAGGTTCTAGTTCAGCTTGGGAACTAGTTCAAGTAGTACCAGTATGAGCTCCAAGACTTTGAAGGGGCACTCTTCTTGTACTTAAACATATCCCGGAATGCAGTCACATTCAACTGTTTATTTAATTTTGCCCGTATGTGTTGTTAAGAGAGCAGGACAGGCATTCCCCCTCATTTGGAGAGCTATACCTAAGTAGTGACAGTGACAGATAGAGGGAAGAACACCACAAAAGGTCAGATGTCAGACCCAATCTGGACTAAGTATTTTCCACAGTGAAGCAGAAGAAGGCATAGGACTATTATATTAGGGATAGCTGTCAGCACTCCTAACGCCAGGTACTGTAATTCGCTTCATGTTCACAGTAAGCAAAAGTTCACAGTCTGAGAAAATGTATATGTTCACTGAACTATATGTTCACAGTGGCAGCAGGTGCAGAAAAATAGTCGGCGAGTTATCTGTTAATGGCAATGATACGTTCGCAGAAGTGGCAGTGAAAATCGGGAACATAAAAGTATCATGCAAAAAAATCAGGAATTACAGTACTACATTTTAGAATCTAAGAAACTGGCAATCTGGAACGCTGTCATTTATTTGGCACCCCTTCAACTTGTTTGGTATTGTCCTTTATCCTTTTAGTCGAAGAAAATCTCCTGACTTCCCTTTCTGAATAGCCCTGAAGACAGAATCAAGTTGTGAAGATTTAACGATAAAGTCAGAATGTTTTTCTTCCTGCAGGAAATCCCACCTTCCAGCGGTTGGGTGTGTGGTTGACATTGGCAAGGATAGTATTGATTTTTAGCTGTCATGATAAATAAGACTGGAGAGAGACTGATGTGAATCACAGTGGAAGGTTGAGCGAGCCAAGCTGAAACTAGAAACACTTTCAGTCTAGTTCAATAAACAGGTTTTAATGGCGGGGAGCTTCAGTGTTTCAAGATGTGTCTGCTGACATTTTCTCTCGGAGACATTCGTGAGAAGGTTATTTAACATGTGGCGGCGCGGCCCATCTCCGGATCCGGATCATCGAAAATGGCGACATTTACCGTTTTTTAGAACCTGGCGAGCGTCCCTTCTTGTGTGCGCGCCGTATCCCATTGCATATTTATAACACTTCAAGTCAAGTGTGGTAAACTTTTTCTTGGTCTGTATGTACGTACCATGAATTATGTATTGTAAGCTAAACCACACATTTTGAGGTAGACCTTTCTTTCTCACTTGTCTTACATTTCATATACCAGTGGTAGAAGTACTTTTTTCAGTGTTTTGCAATATTGCAGTATGTCAAAATTTTGTTATGCAATGTGGGAATACTTTCTGCAAATATACACTTACAAGCCTTGACCTAAACCCATACAAAATTGCATGTTGGCAAACATTTACATGCAATTTGAAAAGCACATAGTACATAATTATTAGTATATCATAAAGTCAGTAGTAAAAACACAAAATTACAAGTTTCTTAAATCTTCTTCTGCAATATTTAAACTTTCTCTGCAAAATACAAACTGCAGATACGTATTTCTATTCTAACACTGTATACAATATTTGATGGTGGCAGCTTCTATCAGCGGGCTTTCGAAGCAACAACTGTATCTTCCATTCAGGCTAGTGAAGTGTCCCTTGATAAAATCTACCCTGGTGGTTTTAGCATGTCTAACCTAACACTACACTGAGAGTGGGAGTCAAACAGTTCCTACATAATCATTCATCATCATAAGTGTCAAATGAGCTTAAAAGCAATTTGACAGCAATGCCCATGAAAGCGTTCTAAGTATCTAAAATTAATGTTTAAATCGTATTCAAAGGAAAATCAAAACAGACTCGTTGAGTAGAGCAAATGTAAATGCTTTTGAGTCTTGTATCATGGCAATTATCGATGGAATAAAAGGTTTGCTTTTTTATTGTTATGAAGGACATTTTGATTTCTTTTGACAAAGGTCTAAACTCTGGAACTAGTAATAGACACTCCAAGACTTAGAAAGGGCACTGTCCTCATACCTCATAATGCATAAGAGGTCAGCATCATTAACAGTGAATACCTGTTAGTACTTATCCCCAATCTGGGCAAAGTGTGTCCCTGAAAAAGTGCTGAATCTCCAGTTGAGTGTGTCTGAACTCTGAGCTAAAGGGCAATGCAAAACAGATGGACTTTCTTATCAGCAGCATTTATTGGTACCGTGATTCTATCAAATAGGAACAGTGGCACAGATTTGGGCAAGTTAAGCCCATTACATGAGGTCTTATCTTATGGTTGAAGATATCCCAGTCATACCAATCTATACCAATGATACATTGTACTAGAGACATGTGAGATACACTTTCGGTAGTGTTAGCTACATGTACTTTATAAAGGAGCCTTTTTACCATTACACTTTCCTGTTAACTATTACCGAAGGTATTACTATTTTTCTCCCAAACTTTTTTGGCAAATTGTTGTTCCCATGACCCTTAAATTTTGGTTTGCAATTTTCCACCCCAACACTTATTTGTGGTGGTTTGCCTCTAGCCTGATATGGCACCACAAAATCACATCACGACGCGTAAGATTACGGAAAAGAAATCACCACCACATTTGTTTCCTAGCAACGGCACACTGCACACAACTGGCTGACATTTCCACACGAGTTAAGTTGTCATAAACAAGAGTCAAAAAACATATTCAAATCTCATGATAACTTCATATAAACCATGTCTACATCTGTGTGTTTCAGGACGTCGGCAGTATCATTGGAAAAAAAGGAGATACTATAAAAAGGTTCCGTGAAGAGGTAAGTTACCTATGCATAATGTTACAGGTCAGTTACACAGGACTAGTTTGCTGGTTTCTTTAATTTTTCACAACAGAGAGTTGAACATGTTTTACGTCCATGGAAAATTCTAACATATGCTAAGTTGTTCAAAGGCAATTCAAACTCTACTACTGGATAAATTACTAAAATTACTTATGGACGTTTCAATGACATCTGTCACTCTTCTTCAGTCTTCAGCATCACTAAAATGAACCTAGAGAACCAGTCTCAACACTGTAATTGTGTAAATTTGCGTTTTCAGCTTGTGGGTGAAACAACCCTAGTAACGCAACGTTCACGGTGTGATGAGTCCTGAAAACCACAGGCAAAACCCACAAACGTGAAATCACCACATACATTTCACAATTTACTGTTACGTGTAGTATCTCCCCAATGATAAAAAAAGCCCTCAGGAAAAGCTCCTCTTTAGCGAATCGGAAAAATTGCCCCTTCAGCTAATTGGGTTTCTGGGAAGAGACAGAATGTATGACTGGCCTGTACCCAAATGAACACTTTAGAACTTGCTTATTGACACTGATAAAGTGGTTGGCCATTATGGATGAAAGCAATTTTCTCCCTGCACAGAGCCGAGAGCTCCTCTCTCCTACTATTTACTTAATGGCCTGTATCCGATCAGATCGCCCGTTGCCATGACACTTAAAGTTGTACGGAGTGGCATATGGAATTAAGTAGGGGTTATATAAAAGGTTGTCATAGTGACCATGATATCATATTAGTAATGAGGCTATTTCGGGAATAGCAGAAAAGTGTGGGTTTGCTGTGTTGGTGAAATGAAAGGAAAAAAGAAAAGTTGATTGATGGGAAACGTCATGGCGATATTGAATTGATGGCACGTCCTCTCCCCACCCATCCCACGCAATGCCCCTAGAGCTGTCTTCTCTCTTGCCCCTCTCTTTCCTTCTATCATTCCATGTTGTGCGTTTTGTGTCTTCTCTGCAGAGCGGCGCCCGCATCAATATCTCAGACGGCTCATCACCCGAGCGCATCGTCACCATCACAGGATCCACAGAAAACATCCTCAAGGCCTTCAATATGATTGGCAAGAAGTTTGAAGAGGTACACTTTTATATTTTTCACAATATATGCCATGGCAGTTAAATTTCCTTGTTCTTGGTGTTGCCACCTTCATTTTTCTTGCATCAGTTTTGGGGTTCTCTGAGGATGTCATCCATATAATCAAATCAACATGGCCTAAACCCAAAAACTAAGATTCACAGAGAATCTATACAACATGCTAGTAATTTGTGTTTCTAGAAGAAGCTGTTGTCATTGTTAGCATGAAGAATCCGTAACTGATTTTGCCATTACTTAGCACAGCACTTGTGACAGCCATTGTGTTTTGTGGTTAATTTTCCGATGCCATGCTAGTTTATTAGATAGATATAGATCTGCTTACCGTAAAATATAATGTAATCTGAAAACCAGCATACACAAATACTCTCCCAGCAGAGGTTTGTCCTGTTTGGGGCTTTTTAGATGTTTTAGGCCAGGATAGGCCAGATATGCAAAGGCTGACAAAAGAGAAAACACCTAAAAAAACAGGCCTAATGTCTTCTTGGAGAGAATTTTAAAATCATTTGTATAACTGTCATGCTAGTTTCTTGATATGGCACTACTGGAATGATTTTGACATTTGTGATAAGAAACTGTTCTATCAAAGAAACATCAAGAGTTTCCAATGAAAGAACCCGATTGTCAAGTCTCGCTGGCGGCATTGTCTGTGAATAAATAATGGATGAATTATGCTTCAAACAGCCTTTTAACCTTGAATAACCTTGTGGGCTTTACTGCGGTTTGAAGGGCAGAAGTGCTAAAATACACACTCTCGTACAAGGGCAGATCCATAAAAGTACAATAGATAGCCTGTAGAGTTTTTAAAGAATATGGTGCCCCCTCTTACTTCTATTGGTTTTGCGGTGCAAGTTTATTACAAATTGGTAAGGAATTTTTTACCTGCAGTGTTTTTTTATTGCTCTGTTTGAAATGGTGATACCAGCATTGGTGCAGGCAAGATTGGAAATAATCTGTATCAGATAAATTTTACCTGCAGTGCTCAGAATTTAGGCAGTATGGGTCATACAAAAACTGTTCAAACCATGCAAGTTGTTTTTTTTTATACCTAAAGTATAGGTGCACATTTACACCCAGTACATGGAGCAGTGCAGGTTAGGTGCAGATAGACATCAGAAATACCTGCACAGCTCCAGTTTTTCCTGCACTAACCTGCATATGCAAGTGGTATTTCGAGATCTGTGGGTGAATGCTATATTTTCCCATTGCTCCCAGGACATGAAGGCAGCCCACGTGAACAGTTCTGTTCCTGTTCCACCAGTCACATTGCGACTGATCGTTCCCGCAAGTCAGTGTGGATCGCTGATCGGGAAAGGGGGATCCAAGATTAAAGAGATCCGAGAGGTTTGTGATCCAGGCTTTTATATGATCTACATTTATATCCGTAAAGCAGGAGTAGAGTTTGAGTTGTGTATGAGATCTACATTTACATTGTACCTTTCTGACGTTGTACCTTTTTAATCAATGAAGATGTAGTACCATATGACTTGCCAAAAGAATTGTAATGCTGTATAGTCAAATGAAAGACACAAGTGAATGTTTTCCTTTGCTGCAGGTGACAGGGGCATCTATCCAGGTAGCTGGGGATATGCTGCCCAACTCCACAGAGAGAGCAGTCACTGTCTCAGGCACTCCTGATGCCATCTCACAGTGTGTCTACCACATATGTTGTGTCATGCTAGAGGTATGTACTATTGCACCCAGGTAGCCCGACTTTTGTTCATACCTGGGCACTGGTGCAGGTAACATTGGAAATAGTGTTTGTGAAGTTTAGACATCCAGGTAATGAGATAAACAAGAAAATTGTTACTCAAGCAACTGGATAGGTTTTGGTAACTGTCAGACGTTTCAAGTAGTAGCATCCACTACTTTCCGTCAGTGACTGAAAAAAAAAGGAGAAGTCATGGAAGAAACTTGTTACATTATTCTTCACATAATTCAAAGCTGAAATGTAAAAAAAGATTACAAAAGCTTCTGTTCAGATTGATTATTTGTAAGATAAAGGTTTCATTTGATGTAAGGCCATTGTGGTTTTTGATCTACGTTTGAGCTCAAGAAAATCTTCTGACTAGTGTGCAACATCAGTTAGTAACTCCCACAGGTAAAGTATATCTGTCAAAACCTACTTTAATTTGTCCCTAATTCTGATAAATGTATAAAGACAATACATTTCTTGTCACCATTTGTAGAAAGATGAGATCCATAAAAGCCCCTTTGGGACTTCTTAGGTCTTTTATTCCCGATCCCATCCTGTAGGCTCATATTTTTCAAGGCAGAAAAGACAATAGATTGTCACAGTCATAATCTATTATGTCCCCAACAACCTACATAGTTATTGAACCATAAAAGTGTCATTAATACCTGCTCACAAGTTTGAGTCTACCTGAGGAAGTTGCGTATGGATGAAACAGGTTCACCTGGGGTTCACCTGCCGAGAGAGCTCTGACAGTAAAATGTTTCTACCAATCAGCCGCCCTTATTGATTCGGACAGGGGGAAAATAAATGACATATAAGGGTGCGGAGGGGTCGTAGGATTGATCCGCGGAAGGCCAGCGTCTGACAGCGAAATCCCGAGAATAATGCCTTCTCCTTAACGTAGTTTGACCTGTGGAATGCACACATCAGCCATTTTTATAGCTCCCTCATCTTGCAATATGGCCCAAATCATTACTTCTCACCACTATTTTCACAGTTGCGGTGGGATGGGGGATACGATATTGCATGCAGAATGTAATTTCAGCTCAGCGGTGTTGCCTTAGTGACCGCGCGGTGTCGTGTGAAGGAAATAGGGGGCAGGGGTTTAGTGAAAACAGATACGCTGGGATTTAGGCTGTATTGGAAAACGGCTATGAAATATTATTTTACATCGTCAAATTACGTGAGGGTTGGAAATTTAGTCCACATTGGTAAACCCTTGGATGATTAGTTTGCGAAGCCACCGTTTTATCTCTATAAAAAGTATGTCAAGCGCCATATATTGTGTATTGCTTAGATGTCAATATACATTCATACCTTCAAGCACTATTGCCAAATGTCTGCGTAATAAAGTTTATCAAAGGGTGCCACACCGCTGGAGCTATTGTCTGCATTATCGACTTGATAATGAATCAATGGGAGTTCCAGGTCAAAAGGAAATTGCAGCGTTGGATTTGTCTCCAAGCTAAGTTAGGATAAAGGCCTGCATTTCCCTACGGTGTATTAACACAGATAGAAACAAATGTGATGTGCGAAGTCTACCACAGACACGCTGACTATGGAAAGGTATTCAATAATAATCTATCAATGAGAATCACAACTTTGCTAACTTAGAATTTCTGGCACTTATGTCGATTCCAGACAAGTTTGGAAGAGATCATGGTATCTTCAGACAGACCATATTTCATGGCAGAGACTTTTGACACACTCCCAAACAAAATTTGCTGATAATTGTGAAGCCTTGTTGGCAGACTAGACAGTGGGTCTGCTAGGATAAAGCCCAGAGGAGATCAACTCATTTTTTTTTAAATATTCAAAGCTGTCTTGTTATTGTAGTGAGGAGAAGACACTGCTTTTTTTTCAGATAATGTTAAAATTGACCCTGGGAGTACGTGTGACCCGGGGTGCTTGGCTGAAAGGCGAAGCCACATTGCAAGTTACTAGCTTTCGAAAAACTGATTTTGCTTGAGTAACTGTTTGTTGGCATATCTTATTACATGTACCTGAATGTCCATATATCCTTAACAGATATAATAAGAGACATTTTTTCTTGTTGTGTGTTTTCCAGTCTCCTCCCAAAGGTGCCACTATCCCATACAAGCCCAGACCGGCCAGTGGAACCAGCACCTCGGGCCCTGTGGTCTTCGCAGGGGGTCAGGTAAATGTACGAATCCTTTCCTGTCACTTTGTGCATGAGGGCATGTCAGTTTGGTCTGTGGAAAACCAAGCATCCAGCAACCAGTAGACGTAGGAGAGGTGTAGTCTCTATTCTGGTCATCCTCAATCCCAAACAATAAAACTCACATAACACCGTAATTATGGATGGCTTTTCTGTCACACAAAAGTACAAACAAACTCCCTAATGAGATTTAGAAACCCCCTTCCCTATAGAAGATTTGAGTGCAAAAAAGTAATTTTTTAAAATGCAGTAAAAAAGTGTGATTTTTCTGTTTGAAATGTGATAAAAATGACTTCCTCCCAATCCCCTCCCCACTTCAATTGCCCCCATTTTGCCCAGAAACCAACCAACCTTGACCAAATAAAAAAAAAACAATCATAACCTGATAACCCTTCTTTGCAACCTCTCCCAACCTTCATTCATTCATTCCCTCATGCACCCAGACTTGCCTTTCCTGAATCTCCAAAATTCCCCCCACCCCCCAAACCCTGGTGGTGAATCTCAATCGGTATTTGCCGTTTATTCCAGGCCTACACAATACAGGGTCAATACGCCATCCCTAACAATGATGTAAGTCACCCACTCTTCTCATGTCACTTTTGTACTCTCATCCGAGCATGCAGTTTTTTTTTTACAATGATCAGTGGTGTCTGCCCGTGATGGTGGTAGAACGTAGTACATTGCATGCTAATCTTTTTCTTATTACGGCCTTTTTTTTTACACTGTTGTGGATCGTTTTTTGAAAAGTGTACAGTAGCAGTTTGAGGTAGGTAGACTCGGTCACTTCTCGTAGATTCTTGTCCTTTCCATATCTGTGCTTCTCCCTCAGCCGCGACCTTTGACCTGGTGTTCCGCCATGAAGCAAAGGAAAGAGAAAGAGAAAAAAAGCACCCGAATTTCGAGTTAAAATTCGCTCAAATAACTTCAGAGTGTGAACTCATCCAGACTGGCTTAGAGAAGCAGATGCAACATGGATACTTAAATTTTGGATGCTTAAATTTGTAATTGAAATACGTTCTGTCCTGTAATCAGGTACACAGCTTCTAAACAATTGGAACTTATGAGGAAGGCTAATTTGCTTATGTAAAGTAAGCGTCATATGACTGAATGAAGAGAAAGTGTGAAATTGCCGGTAATAAGGAATGATACATTAGGATTTGTTTAAGAGATGTAGAATCTGCTTCTCTAGTTGCCCTCCTGTCTGACTGTCAAAGGTGAGTCGACGTCTCTGATTGGCTGTTTAGTTTGGCACACTATGGTGGATGATAAGGTTAAAGGTCACGCAGCCACCCCCCTGAGCATGTCCCGGGCTGCAGTGCTGACCCCCCACGTTTGTGCGTTTGTGTGTTCCAGCTCACCAAGCTCCATCAGTTGGCCCTGCAGCAAACCCCCTACATCACCCCTGGAACGACCCTCCCTGCTGGTATGTACCTCCCAGCATGCTCTCTGTTTACCCCACACCTAGCTCTGCACACTCCCAGCATGCCTCACTACTGGGACATTCTGTACTGGATAGCACTACTTTTTTCTACACTACCCTGTTCATGTCACTCCCACTGTGCCCAGCATGCTGTATTCCTTCTACAGGGAGACCACTTTGGTGTTAGGGAAGTGGATGAGTGTATCTGCACGAGGTAGTGTCCGCATGCAGTGGTGATGATACTGTAGTGTGTTGCACTTATCGTAGACTATTTGCATGCCGAGTGTTAAACAGACGTGCACGTGGAATTAAGATAACCGATGCTGTGTTAGGACGACCGTTTGAAACTGCAACCAAGCTCCCGGACCATTCTCCTCCCCCATTACTTCATTCATATGAACGTACATTAGCGTTGGTTCCATTTTTGTTACGTTTACCGAGATAACGACATTTCTGTTGCTAACGTGTCGATGTGTTTCCATCAGTGAGTGTTAATTGGACTTGTCCCAATGTCACCTTGGTTCTGTTGTAATCATGAACATCAGTGCAGCCTGAGCTTGCAGTAAATTAACATCTGCTTGGTTAATTGTCTTGAAGCATTAGACATAGGATTTCCCTTAACAGGGTAACAGTCCTTGCCTTTCAGCACCTGGCTTAGGTAGCATGTGCATTCTTGGTTTTAAAAATTCAGATACATGGGTCTTTGTTTCATGGTTAGTATCTGTTGAATAAAATATTACTTGTTGCAAGTGTACTAACCTACATTATAGAAAATACAAAGGTATGATTTTGCCATAATGTATTCAGTCTGTTTTGTTACGCTTTTGAGTAGACGCCCCTTTCATATGCTCTGGGAGATAAACTTTATATTTAAAAACATTGTCCATGATGAGAATACATTTCAGTACCAAGGACATGAATGGTCTTTGTGCAACATTTTTGATAGGATCTTTCTCCTTATGTGTACATGTAGTTGTGTTCTGATGTGTAAATGTGACCACATATGTGTTTTCACTGTACCACTCTGTACTTAGTTCATGCCATGTGCAAGAAAATTTAAAACCTATGATTATGGCATTAGCACTTTGGAGAATAATCCTTGACCTGTGTTTTTTCTTCCCAACAGCCCTTGCAACACAGTTTGGAGTGCAGACTGCGTCTCAGCCGGGTAACCCGTCCAGCCAGACCACACACGAGCTGACCATACCCAATGAGGTGGGGCTACTCTAAATCCTATTGTTGGTTAACAATATATTATAGGCCACACCAAGTAAATTTTATGGATGACGTCCGCACGCGCATTGATTTTGGCCTGTTCCTAGAAGAAAAACCAAGAAATTCCGCTTACTGTAACTATGACTAAAGAGTCACAACAGTGCCGCAAATCGTCAGATCGTGAAACCCGTAACGCCGAAAGCCTGTGCCTGGTTAAAAAAAAATGAAAACAAAAATGAAAAAAACAAAATGGCACTGAAAAAAATCCTGTCAATAGTTCCAAAACAGTGCCGTTTTTGGAACTATTAACAGACAGGATGGTCCTGTCAGCAGTGCAATATTTCTTATCTAGGCATCTTGTTTTTTAGGGCCCTTCTTGTTTTTTTTTTTTCCCTCTCGCATTAGATTTAGGGTCTCCAAAGGACGTCATCCATAAAATTTACTTGGTGTGGCCATATACAACAATACTTTACATTTGGGACAGCATGTAACACTATGTTGTAACAATACCTACGTATGTCGCAGTTGTTTTACGCTTGGGACTGCATTGTTACAGTAACACCTAGCTTCAATCACATTGAACAAGTAACACCTAGATCTAGTGCACAGTAAACCAGTCATATTGGCCCTGATGAACATGACAGACGGTCATTATTTAACAAGTGGTTGTGAATAAATATATTCATGTTTTTTTTTTTATCTCTACAGCTAATTGGTTGCATCATTGGAAAGGGAGGTTGCAAGATCAATGAAATCAGGTAAGGGATTGTTTTTGGTGGATGTACAGAATCTACCTTCGTAACTATGGAGGTCTACATGTATGTTGGAACCTAGCAATGCCTTTCTCCAGATCTTGTCGGCTAATACAAAAAAAAGTTCGCTAACAGTCAACATTGAAACATTATCAGTAACCACAACAGGCTCAAAGGTTTCTAATTCATTGCACTGTGACAGGGCCAAATTCTTGGATTTCCATGTGCATAAACAACATTTTGTACATGTTGTTTTGTACACTGACAATGACAAGTGAAGATGAACATTTCACAATAGAATGTGTGTGCAGTTTTGTACACTGACCATGACAATAACTTAAGATAAACATTTCATCTGTACAATCCAGGCAATTGTCAGGAGCGACCATAAAGATTGCGGGGATGCAGGAGGGCTCGACAGACCGGCAAGTGACGATCACGGGCACGCCCGAGTCCATCAGCACTGCACAGTTCTTCATCAACACCAGGTGGGCCTTCCCAGCATGCCCGGGTCCCTTCCCATCATGCTAGCCTGTTTCCCATGATACATTGCTGATTGCTCCTCCATGTTAGGTTCTCTCTTCCCACTCAGGTTCTTTTGTTTTGCCATTATGTTCCAAAAAACGGTCCTCTTACCAGAGAGATTTGGTATCATTTGGATGGCTGGGAGCTGATTTGAAGGCCATTGTTTAGACTCAGAGACATTTCAAAAACTGTATTTTGGTTTTCCATACATCACTTAGTTGGAAAGGTAAAAACACAGGTACAACACCTTCAAATGCAGAAAAAGTTGCCAACCTATTCAGAGAGGGAAGCAGACAACTTTAAAGCTCCAATTGTACTTAACTGAAAACAAGGCCTTAAAAAGCCATGTTGTGTGTAACCATCCAAATGATATGCAGAAGCAAAGGTAGGTAAAGTCTGTGGTAAGGCAAAAAAAACCCTTTCTTTTCCCCTTTATTTTTCTTACAACTGCATTTCTTTCTGTATGTACACCTATGAACCCTAGTACCCATTGAGTAAATGTAATTTGAAGAGGTATTATCACACTCCTGTGTGGGACAAGGTAAGCTGACTTTTACTCACAAATATTGCTGTCACCCTGTCCCTTTCTTCCTCTAATTTTATGTCTTATCAATGAGCCCTTCTCTCACAAAATAACCTACAAGTCTTTTTAGATTCTCCTGCTTTCTGACTGTCTATAATATATCCCTTTTTGTTGTATGATAAGTTGGTAATGAGGACGTTTATTGCTAACCTCGTAGGCTAGACGCTTTACTGATTTCTCCTGCTTTGTTTAGTATGACACCGTTCTGATATCGTCTTACATCCTGCTCCGATTAGAATAACCTCCTCATCATATGGCTACTTTTTAATCCCATCATGTGAATGTTAGCATCCCATTGCCATGACGACTGTTAGCATCCCTTGTTGCCATGACGACAATTACAATTCTTCCCCCTGTCACTCCCCATCCTTGTCCATCCTCTAACCCCATGCCTCTAACCCCGATCCTCCGTTTCCACCATCCTGCCCCCCTCCCCCATGTCTCTTACAGCTTAGAGCTGGCCAAACGCTTGACCCCCGACCTGACCACGCCCACCACCGCTCCCTCCTCTACGTTGAATCCCACTTCCCTGGGGGTGGGACAGGGTGGCACGCCCACCCCCCTGGCCGTCCCCCTGAGCAGTCTGATGTCGTTGAAACCAGTCCCGCTGCTCGGACTCGCACAAGCGGGCTTACTAGATGCGACCAGTAGATCGTCCTACACAGCAAAAGTGAAAAACGCAACGGGGACGGGGACCTCGGGGGCGAAGAAATCCGATCGCAATAAGTTTGCACCGTACTAGAGGGGCGTAGTAGTGTATGGGAGTCGTCTGGTCACAGGGCGCTACCGACAGTAACAGTGGACAACGCTCGTAGGTACTGGGTACCTAGCAACACGAACAATTCACCTGTAAAAGTCATTGCACAAAGCCTATATAATACTATCCCAGATATAACTCATGTACAAAGTCCAACGTGGTGCTGTCTCAAGTGCCATCGTCCTGCTTCTAAGCTAATAGTAGTAGTAGTAGGAATAGTAGTAGTCACAGTCACGTATTCTTGTATTCTTACAAACCATCAGCAGCCCACTAGATGTTTTGTGTCGTCACATTGTACAGATTCATCCCAGTCAGACGTACATACATAGCTGTAGTCAGTCACACACAGAACAAATATGTGTTCTCCAGTTGATTTTCACTACAGCAACTGTAGTGCGAAGCCGGTCCACTGTTGCTGTCAGCAGGGCCTGACACTGTGCACCTGTAAGGTGTACTAGACATGGAGGGCAGGGATAAAAAGGGTCGGTAGCAGGACAACGGATTACGCTCCAAACGTAACCATTGCTACCACCACAGTGCATGTGCCATACGCCAGCATGTATTCTCTAGACTTGTATGGATAACTCTAGGGCTAGTAGCCGACTGCGTAGGTTGCTAGTTTTCTACTTTTAAACTTCACATTCCTTGAGAAAAGTATATGGCTATATTGTGATTAAAGAAGATGAAAGACTGGCTGTAAATGTTAAGATGTGCAGGGTAACATTTTGTGATCATGATAAGAAGAAATTTTTGCATTTGTAGTGCACATATTAAAGTGATAGTAGCACAATGAGTGATATGCTGGTCTTGAACATGAAGCAATAAATTATTACCATTGGTAACAAAGTTAAATAATGTATACTTTACCTGTAATTAATGTATATCTCTAGGAATGTATTGTAAGTGGGACATTGATATGTAGAAGTAAGCATGAAGTTTGTTTTTGGACTGGAGGGGTGGTGAGGTCGGACTATAGTGGTGTGTACTTGGCTGTAAATACTATGATGCCTGTGCAGTGCATGAGTTATTGGTATGCCGTGTGTTACTCTGTTGTAGTACTAGACACCGATTATTGTGTTCTCACATAGAAACTTTCTCCTTTATTGTTGTTGGTATTCCGAGACTGCTACTACCCCTCTAGAGAACTACCTCTGCTGGCAATGTTGCTGTGAATTCTTGTGTTTTTTTTTATTTTATTCCTTCATCCATTCACTTCTAACAAGATGATGTTCTGTTGAAGATGTCCATTATATTGCCTGTGTACTGTAACCCTGTTCCTTAGACTGCATGGTAGTCTATCGTTAAACAGTTGTTCATGAGACAAGAGAGGTATCACTTGTAAGTCTCCAATATGGTGTAATTTCTGGTTTTTATAGGCTGAGAGAAGAGGTCAGCGGAATGGGAGGGCTAGTCCTGTGATTTCCCCATCATGCACTGGATTACCCATGATGCCCTGGGATTACCCATCATTCAATCTGTTTTATCCATCATGCATTGTGATCAAGAAGTAATGTTGGAATTAATAATAAGGAATGATCTGACCAAGATTTTGATTTTAGTGATTCAGAATCACTATTTTCTTTCTTTTAGCCAATTCTGTATCCTTGTATTTGTTTCAGAACTGCATATTTATCCTGCAGTGTTGTTTTGTAAACATTGTCGGCTTGCGACCATTAAATTATGGCCAGTGTAGTGAAGTCAACCTGATTGTTCATGGAATTTTCATGTGGGACCGACCGGCCATTTTGTTCTGATGAGTAAAACTGATATGTTTTATGTTGGTGAATGAGTATGTTGAGAAGAAAGAGGAACTGGAACTGGCAGGGCTGTTATACTCAAGGGTTGTATCTTCAGTAATAACAAAGTCTTTGCCATGAAAATGGACCTTCTTTCCTGACAAGGAAGTTTGAACCGAAAGGAGTGGAACGCTATGAGAAGTCTACCACATTAACTTTTACATGGACTACTTGATTCTTGCTTTGTACAGTCGAATGTGTTCCTCATTATTGTTATCATTGTGGAAAAAAAGACTGCTCTTATTGCTTGTACAGGCCAAAGCTATAAAAAGTAAGCTTGCATTTTACCTATCATTCCAGCTGGTATAAGATTCTGTGTGGTTGTTCTTTCTTCAGCAGCAGAAAACAGACATTTTTAGAACTTCATGTAACTCCTACAGAAACAAAGTGTTGTAAAGATATATACTGTACAATAGTTGTAGTAGTCATAGGATAGACAAAGTCACCAACATCATGGAGTAATATTTAAAGGGAGGTTCCTTTTTACGGGTTATTCAGTTGTTGACTTGCCAGGAAAGTCAGTTTATCACATTTGTTGAAACGTGAAACATCTTTTCTTTGATACCATGTTACCTCAAGAAGTGGTATATGGACTGTACCAAAGGTTGGAGTGGGGGGGGGGGTAGTTGAAAACTGTGCCACTGGATTTCTTTAAGTTGATCATACATATGTACATCAATAAAGAAAATGTTCAAGAGTTAATACAAGAATAAACCATTTAGTTTTGAAGGCAGTTGTGTGACAGCATTGAGTCAGAGAAAGTGAACAAGATATGTTGGTCTCTATGCCCACTGATGTGTATATTGTCCCTTATACATCATTGTACAAACCACCAACTTTCTACCTTTGTATTTTTTTTTCTTTTAATACCATTAAGTATTTTGTCTTCAACCAAGAGGTATGGAAGCAAGTTTGAATAAAAGGCAGTTCCCAATTGTATCTGAAGACTGTGATAATATACTATGAAATGTTGATAGGTAGTTTGTACCACTTTTCCCCTGTATTCTGCTGCTGAAGAAAGCGGCTGCCAAGGATGTCTATACTGGTGTCTGGGAATGACAATAAAAGCTGTAACAACAGTCCAACCTGCTGTCTTATTTTGAAAGAGTCCATGAGTGAAGGATGTGTGCTTGTCTTAATTGTGTGAGTATGAACTACTGTTACAAGTCTGTATGTGACATGCTACCAGCACCTGTGAACAGTCATCATTCAGGTTAGTACTGTAATTCAATGGCTGACAAAGCTCTAATAGCAAAGTAGTCAAGCCTGGGATATCCACCTGCTAATGTATTGGTAGTACTTCCACACTACATTCATCTTTAAATTTTGAAGAACAGTTAGTAGAATATTTAAAGAAGAGTCAATTAATTAGAATTATCCTTAATAGGTAGCAAGAAATCCTGTTCCCTTAGTCAAATTCCTCCCAAACCCGTCCAGATTCATTTCCGTTGCCAATTTAGGGAAACATGTAACACAGTTAACGTTACCAGTACAACCATGACAATCTCAGGCACTTGGTGTTGAAATCTTATCTCCAAGCAGATCCTAGGGTGGCAAAAGACAACAAAGGGTGGCGTATTGTACCCTCTCTGGCCAATGGATACTGCCTGGCCAATTTGATACTGTCTTTTGCCACCCTAGTATCTGCTTGGAGATAAGTTGAAATTTCCATGGATCAAAAGCGCCTCTAGCGGCCAAACAATCACTGCAGTAATACTGTCTTTTGCCTCCCTAGTATCTGCTTGGAGATGAGTTGAAATCTCCATGGATCAAAAGCGCCTCTAGCGGCCAAACAATCACTGCAGTAATAGTTTGAAGAACCTGTGGTGGAATCGCCATGGCTGAAAACGCCCCGTAGCGGCCAAACAATCACTGCAGTGATAGGAGCGGTAGTCTGGTATCTAGTCTTACGTGATTGTGGGTGTTCAGGCTATCAATTCATTTTGAATGGCTACAAGACCATGGCCAAACCTGTACAAGGTTATGGTTTATAGCATGACGCAACCACATGTGTTAGTGACTCGTTCCCAGGTTTCGACATCAGGGGCTAGAATAGAGATTTACCGAATCCCGGTATAGTGGAATATTTCGCTAACAATCACCCCTTGCACACCCCTCTTCTTACTCGTAAGTTTATATTGTCCCGATTCTTATAAATTTAATTTTCTTTTGGACAATATACGAGATCTTGATCGTCCTACGACAGAAGTACGAAGAAGTGCAGTACGCAATCATCCCCTATGTGAGACCCCTATGAAAGACCTAGAGTAACATGTAAACAAACATGGCGGCCCGGTTGTAATTACGGCAGAATATTGGTCGTGTTCTGGAGTATTTAGCGGGATTTGAAGACCACCAACCTTCCGTGCACCGAGTTAAGAGAGCAGGCAAGCATAAGGGACAACCATAAACCGGGATGAAAACGTATATAATCGCGCAGACGACGGGAGATTGGTGTCTGGTTCGGTCAACAAAATCTTATGTCATATAATATATGTGAATGCAGTATGCACTATGCAGTAAACTGAAAGAAACTGAATGAATGATTGAACGAACGAAAAATTGAAACGTGTCCCTTGCCTATGCCTACATTTTCAATCAAGGGAGTTCTGCACACGACTCACACACAGTCGACCGAATTGACTCTACTCTCTACTCTAGACTGTCGTTCACTTCACAAATCGCCAGAGGTCGCTGCTACACGGTACATCTGTCGGATAGTGTCAATACGTTTCACAGTTACGTCATAGTTACGTCAGCCGCAGGTAAATGTGACCCTGCAGTTTAGAGACAAATCGCCAGAGGCCACTCCTACACGGTCCATAGGCCAGGTTTAAACGCGTGTACTGTAAACGCGTGTACTGTAAACGCGTGTACTGTAAACGCGTGTACTGTAAACGCAGGTACTGTAAACGCAGGTACTGTAAACACGTGTACTGTAAACGCGTGTACTGTAAACGCGTGTACTGTAAACGCGTGTACTGTAAACGCGTGTACTGTAAACGCGTGTGCTGTAAACGCGGGTACTGTAAACGCGTGTACTGTAAACTGTAAACGCGTGTACTTTAAACGCGTGTACTGTAAACGCGTGTACTGTAAACGCGTGTACTGTAAACGCGTGTACTGTAAACGCGGGTACTGTAAACGCGTGTACTGTAAACGCGTGTACTGTAAACTGTAAACGCGGGTACTGTAAACGCAGGTACTGTAAACACGTGTACTGTAAACGCGTGTACTGTAAACGCGTGTACTGTAAACGCGGGTACTATAAACGCGTTTACTGTTAACGCGGGTACTGTAAACACGTGTACTGTAAACGTTTCGTCCTGACGTTTCGCCGACGTCAGGACGTTTTGCAGTCAAGGGAACGGCTATTTCATACTCTAACACTAATTAATTCTAACAATAGCGATAATCACAACAACAAAATTTCAGGTAAAAACATGGGACGGCAAACCATAACAGGAAACCGCAATTTCGGGGGCGTTTTTTGCGAATGTTGCTACGAAGTGTATGGCTGAGTCAGCTGATACAGGCTATCACTTCATTTTTAGATGATCTCACGGCCAAGCGTGTACAAGGCTATCAGCCCCATTTGGGTGCCCCACGGTCAGTTAACATTCGATCCTTCTGAAACGCCGCAAAGTCAGGCTGTTCCAGGCTACGAGATCCTTCTGAAAAGCCGCACGGTCAAGCCTCTTCCCGTGGTGCTGACCTTGGTGCTGATCAAGAGCCTGGAGCAGAGAAACCCCTTCTGAGTGTGATAAATCGCTAGAGGTCGCTGCTGCATGGTCTAGTTGACCTCCATGTGCAGTGATTCATATGCAAAATTTTCTACCACTGTACTGTTGTAATTCGCTGTGCAATTCGTCTGCGTGATTACTAGTATATCTGTTTTCACCCCAATTTATGGTTGTCCCGTATGCTTGTCTGCCCTGTTAACTCGGTGTACGGAGGGTCGGTGGTCTTCAAATTCCGCTAAATACTCCACGACGGGACCAAATTATTCTACCGTGTCGCGCACCAAACCCAACCGGGCCGCCATGTTTGTTTACATGTTCGGTGATGTTGAATAGTAAAAGTAGCGTCTCTTTCGTAGCAACATTCCCGAAAACGCCGCCGAAATTGCGGTTTCTTGTTATGGTTTGCCGTCCCATGTTTTTAGCTGAAATTTGTTGTTATGATTATCGCTTTTGTTAGAATTAATTAGTGTTAGGGTATGAAATAGCCGTTCCGTTGACTGCAAAACGTCGGCGAAACGTCAGGACGAAACCTGGCCGATGGACAGTGTAGCAGTGGCCTCTGGCGATTTGTCTCTAAACTGCAGGGTCATATTTACCTGTGGCCGACGTAACTATGACGTAACTGTAGTAGTGCCTTTGTGATGAACCTTTGTACAAAATACTAAATTAAGTCACTTACAGCAACATTTCCTGTTATGTTTCGCCGTCCCATATTTTTAGCCGTTGTTTTGGTTATCGCTGTGAAGTTATGATTAGGGTTAGAGTTGGAAATAGGCGCTCTCTTGACTGCGAAGCGCCCTGTCCTGACGTATTGATACTATCCGGCAGATGTACCGTGTAGCAGTGGCCTCTAGCGATTTGTCTCCAAACTGCAGGGTCACATTTACCTGTGGCTGACGTATAATACTAGTACTTGTAGTTTCTGTGTTTCTGTGTGTGTGTGTGTGTGTGTGTGTGTGTGCGCGTGTGTGTGCGTGTGCGTGCGTG